AGCTCAAACAAACCTTTCAGCTGTGCTGCCATTCTGGATTGCATGAAGAATAAGATGCATGAGAAGAAAGTTCAACACTCTCACACAAAAAAACACACACACACACACACACACACACACACACACACACACACACGATCTGACTCTGGTTCTTCATTACTAATTTCAGTCCACAGAAACATTCTCAGTCAGTTCTCATGTTTAAACAGACTCACACGAGCAGAGGAAACAGAGAAAAGTCCTCTGGATCAGCAGCACATGACACACATTAAAGGCTCAGCACACTCATTTCAGAGACGGACGGACGCTCAGAAAACAGCCGACAGCAGCAGATATGGATTATGGGACGCAATCAGGTGTGTTTGCTATAGGAGAGGTCAGAGGTCAGAGGTCAGCGATCGGCCCGTGTGACCGTACAATGTGTGCCTGATCATCTTATCAAAGCTGCTTCAGCACATTCCCACAGGAACATCAGCACAAACTCTTACAACAAAACCCGCTGAGAGATCTGGACCCATGACGCTGATACTAGTAAAATCTATATATTAGACATGTTAAATCACGTACTTGGCCTTTCCTTCCTATGATACAAGAGTCTACCTTGAGTTAAATGCCAGATGCAGTTTACTGTCACCTAAATACCATAATATTAAGGGTGCTCCGATCAGGATTTTTGGAGTCGATCACAGAAAGCAGATACGATCAACAATACCGATCTTTTTGAAGCCTTCTTTTTATCATGTAGAAATATTTATAGTGATGCTCCAATTATTTTTTCAGACATTTATTCAGGGCCTGAATTTCATTTTTGAAAATGGGGGGAGTTCCCCTCTTAGGTGACTCTTGTAATTTTTTGACATTTTTTAGAAAATATATATAATTATCTCCCCTAAATGTTTGATCATGCATTTTTGTTTTTACAATGGGGCAATTGTTGCACAATAGCTTACACTCAGCACAGTGTGCATGAGCGCTGAATGGCTTAAACACTGGCAAGATTTAAAAAGAAATGCAAATTATAAACTATGCGACACTGCCTCGATTATGCAAGTGAAGATTCCCGTGTCGACTGTGCAGCTCGCTTATAGTGCAGACGCGATGTAGTGATTTGAAGCCATTTGCGCATTTTGAGAGAGATTCACTCACGCTGTTTGTGAAATTATGTCTCACAGAAAGTTTTCAAATTAATTTGTAAGTTATTTAACAAAGAAATATGAATTGTACCTCAGCTTCAGCGTTATGATAGATTGAGACGGTGCCGCTGCATGTCATGCTGAACCTCTCACAGCAGAGATAATATCCAGAAAAAATATATATTTTATACATGAAACGAATGTGGGACTTTTAAATATAATCAAGACTGACACTTAGTTTGAAATGTCTATGCTTTGCTACTTCCTGCTGCTCATTCAAACAGATGAGGGAGATAAAATATGCATCTTACAACATATTACACCTTAAACTCCATACAGCAAACACTGTCATAACTCATGTGTGGTATTTATTCACTGATTGTGAATTGCTCTGAAACTGCCAGCCTGTAGAACACATAACAGTTTGACTGTGCAGTGCTTACATTTACTTCATGAAATCATTGTCTTTTGAAGTTTAATAATCACATTAGCATTCATTCCCAAATTTAAGATGTCTTAAAATGATAAATAAAACTTTTGTTATACCATTTAAGATCTGTAATACGTTTTATGTCTTTAATTTGATCAAGCTATATTGAAGACTTTTTAAGAACCCTCAAAAAGTCTCTGTCACCTCAAATATCCAGCAGCGCTTGTTCACAAATATAATCAAGACTGACACTTAGTTTGAAATGTCTATGCTTTGCTACTTCCTGCTGCTCATTCAAACAGATGAGGGAGATAAAATATGCATCTTACAACATATTACACCTTAAACTCCATACAGCAAACACTGTCATAACTCATGTGTGGTATTTATTCACTGATTGTGAATTGCTCTGAAACTGCCAGCCTGTAGAACACATAACAGTTTGACTGTGCAGTGCTTACATTTACTTCATGAAATCATTGTCTTTTGAAGTTTAATAATCACATTAGCATTCATTCCTAAATTTAAGATGTCTTAAAATGATAAATAAAACTTTTGTTATACCATTTAAGATCCGTAATATGTTTTATGTCTTTAATTTGATCAAGCTATATTGAAGACTTTTTAAGAACCCTGAAAAAGTCTCTGTCACCTCAAATATCCAGCAGCGCTTGTTCACATGAGTGCAACAAGACAGACAGCTGCAGCTCTGAAATATGAACGCGGAGCAGATGTAGGGTGTGGTCTAACACATGTGGGCTTAGCATGTGGTGTGTGGTTTATCATGTGGGTGTTGCCTTTGAGGGTTTGCATTTGCAGTTGCATTTGAGGGTGTGGTCTACCACATAGGTGTGTTCTAATGTGTGGGGGTGTGGTTTTACATATGGGGGTGTGGCCTATCGTGTAGGGGTGTGGCCAATCTTGTGGGTGTGATCTAACATATGGGGGTGTGGTCTATCATGTAGGGTGTGGCCTATCTTGTGGGGGGTG